TTTAATTACTATTATTACAGGAGCAATGTCCTTCTGGCAACAAAACCCATTCATCAAGCATCAAGTATGCACCGTGTATACGGCTTGCTTTAAGTGGTTTTTTTTCTAGGAGAAGGCTCCCCATACACTCCCTTTTCTTTTCCCCCCTCCAATGAATAATGCATACAAATGGAGCATACAGTTTGAGCAACCAGGGGCAGTTATTGCAGCTCTGCACACAGAGTAAACAAGAATAAACAAAAACTGCATTAAACAAATGTCCTGGTGACCAATGCTGTCGCAATGAACAGAGTCCAGCCACCCATTCCGCCATGGGTGCAATAACTGGGATGAATGGCAGAGAAGGAAGATAAGTCTGCAGAAGCTTTTTCCCAAGTTTCTCTTTCCGATATTGCTGGAGGCACATGGACCTTGCAAAGTGGGCAGAAGCCCCTGCCTGTGCCCTGCTGAAGGCACCAGCTCTGTAAAGTGTTCTTGGCTGCACCAGTTCCTCAGGGCTACCTTGCTGAGCAGATAGGACAGTTCATCACACTTGCATTAAATAAATCCACTGGAAATGAGACAGCTCTTTGAAAAACATCGAAATGCTGGTTTCAAAGATGAGATTGAAAGTGTCTGAAGGGCTTTTTTTTTTTGGACAACATAAAGACTGTTATTAAGCACAGTTTGAGTTGGCTTTGTACATCTGAAGTAAAGATTTCCTGATCTGGCACATTTCTAGTTTCTGTGAAACCTTCTGTATAATTTTTTCTTTTTTTTGATGAAAAGGGGAAAAGAGAAGAAATATTAAAGAGCAAGTTAATGAAACATCTTGACTGGACACATAAAAGAGACCACTGGGAGAAAACCAGTCCTGTGAGATTCATGACATGAGCTACGTGCCCTTGAAGACATAAAGAACAACACTCGGGTAAACTTGTCTTGAATCCATTTGTGAACAAGGCATGTTGCATTATGTTTGCTTTATGAAGCCGATTTAAACAGGTTTTTAATTCTTTGCTTATAGCTGCACATTACTGTCAGATCTAAAGATGGGCAACCACGCAGAAAAAGGCTTAGCAAAGCTGCAGGTAGTTTTCAGACAAATGTATTAAGTGTAATGCACTGGACTGGAAAACCCTGCTTGCTGGTAAATACACATCAGATAACTGCAGAGACAGACAGAAGAAAAGCTTCCTTTTTCTTCCCCCTTTCTCTCAGAAGTGTAAAAGCTGTAAAGGGCTAGTATTCCTGGTGAGAACATGACCAGCTATGAAAACTTGACAGAAGCTGGTGAAAGGAAGGATGCAGGAGGAGAGCGAGAGCATTCTCCTTGGCCTGCAGAGATGGCACTCAGCTAACGAGCAAAGCACGGTCTGTACGTCATGCGATGTCAGCTACTGTTACTAAGGAAACGGCACCAGATAACCCAGGCTGAAAACATCCACATCCAGTTTCTAACAGAAACGCCTGTCCACTAAAGATGCTATGAATAGCCACAGAGCTCGCGTCATTTCATTATACTCTGATTGACAACACAATACTGGTGAAATTCACTCAACAGCAACCTGTAGCCCAAAGGAATTTGGAATTTTTGTCCCAATGTGGCACACATTAACCACACTGCACAGTCCAAACTGAACAGCTACGGCTCTGAATCAGAGCGCCAGATCTTTTAGAAATCAGATAGGATGAAAGAGTAACTGGAATGTAACTAGGTTATAAACTGGGATGAGAACAAATACAAAAACACCTGCATTCATTGCTTCCCCACAAGGATGAAAACGTCTGCACCCTTTTCCTTCTCCTAGATTGCACAGGTAAAGACTACAGATTGTAAGCAGAGCCACTGTCGTTACAACCATTCTCTCCCACTGGATGAGTGGAACTGACCCGCACAGAGGCATTATTCCTCCAGGAGCCAGCAAGGGTAGCACGGAACTGCCCTGGGTCCAGAGAACGGCATTTCCTTCAGGAGCTCGCAAAGGTAATCTCACTGCTTCATCCTCTACGCTCAACGTGTCAAGACAGGTAGCACTGAGACAGTCTCCTACCTTAATATACATGTTTTCTGTGGTCTCATTAGGGTGACCTCGGAGCAGTAAAGGGGCCCTCCTACCCACTGGATGCCAACATATCTCCATAGACTCAAATCCCATACAAGTTCCTCTAGATTTGCAAATGAGCCTCACACAACATAAGCTGCTCTTCCATCCAACTGCATCCTATGGACTGAATCCAGGACCATGGAGACACGTTTCAAGGGCTAGCCAGACTGTGAGGAAACCCATTCAGGCTCAACGCCCTGCAGTAATCTTACATGAAAAACTTTCTTCTGCTTAACAGATGATGCACCGAAACTCTGCTCAGCATGGGGCTGAACAGCAAACACTGAGTCTGCCATCTCAGGCTTGGAGCTTCTTGACCTTACAAACCCCATGCACTGTAACACAGAGGCACCTAAGGGTGTGAGAAAAGTGGCACATACTACTTAATTGGCACCTTCAGCCTTTTAGGACCTAGGAAAGCTAGGAAATTTTCAGTTACTGAGGCAGACAGGCCCTGAAAATCAACTACCATGTATTTAAGAGACTCTGGCTAAACTCAGCCTTGCAGGAGAGTAAAATGATTCACAAGAATTCTATATTTATAACAAAGATCCACTGAAAGTGACTCATGTAGTGAGCCAATCTAATTTTAAACAGAAGGGAAAAACCTCTTGAAGAAACATATGAAACTGTAGTGATGGAAGGAAGAGAACTGCACACACAGGAGAGCCCCAGCCAGGTGCTGTTAGCCAAATCTACTGGAAACAGTTTCTCCATTCAATTAGCTAAAGTGATAGCAGAACATTCAGCTTCACCTACTTCTGGTTTAGAGTTAATTAAGTCCTACATTCAAAGCAGCTGCAGGTTGGAATACTTCCTTAGGATAGGTAGGATTGCAGGGCAATAAAAAGGCAGCTCATGGAGAGTTATTAGTTCTTCAGACCCTACAGAATTCAGAACACAAAACCAACTGTAATCACAGTGGGCGGAAGGGAGAAACATTAAGAAGATTTTACAGTATTCCTAATTTTGGCCAAGCAGATTCTAACAGAAATAGCTGCCACCCCACTAGCCCTTACATCAACACTGCAGCACATCTTATGGAATATAATTTCAAAAACAGAGAAAAGACACACAACACTAGGAGCTCTCTAGATCGAACAGGCAGCCTGCAGCAAGGGCACTGGCTCAGGGTTCCTTCAGCTGCTCCTATCTTGGGACCATTTTCCTCAGTTACTTTTTCTCCTCTGTATAGTACAGATACACAGTAGATAAAAGGGGAATATTTAACATAACCGCAACCTAAATGGAGGAAAAGGCTACAGTCTATATTAATAGCAATAAAACATTAGCCAGAAAACATGCCCGATCTTGCGTTCCTGCACTGAATACATAGGGATGAATAAATTCTCCTAAGCTGTATGTAAAAGATAACTTGGAAACAGCAAGCAGGCTAGTGAAAGATTAGCCTTGCATACATAATAACCACGCACCACAGAGCAAGTTGGAATCTCAATGTTGCGACAGGAAAAGGTTACTATTCTCTGGCTTTGGCTTTCAGTAACACACGTCAATGCTGCTTTGTCTAAACAGTCCACTTATCTCCAAAGCCAAACCTAGCTTCCACTCTTCTTAACCTCTCCACTGTCATCAACACATAACTGGGTATGCTTGGCTGCAAATGCTCCATTCTGTGAAATCCAGAAGTGTTTAGATGATGGCTGTTCTCCAATCATTCTCAGCATCGCTCCCAGTTAAGTCTTCAATTTGAAGCATGAAGAGAAAGCAGCCAAGAATTCACAGGCCAACACACATATTTACAATTGTACATAGCTTTAATTCTCAGCAGCATCTTGCTGTGATGTTTCTCCACACACCAAAGTCTGATGAATAGTGTTAAATTTTTATTGGCCCTAGTAAATTATGGGCTAGATTTCAGAACTGTTGGACAAGTATTCAACAGTTCCTTCTCAGGCACTGAATGAAGTGGCTAAGTCTCCAAAGGAGTAAGTACTTGGTGTGAACTTTCAGGAGCTGACCTCTACTGAGAATCCAGCATTGGACCATTCTTTATCCCACCCACCCACCCAGGGTTTGCTTCACTCCATCATCACAACATACACACACAGCAGTCTAAGTCTGCAGGGACCAGGCAAACCACCACCAAATTTTAGAATTTATTCAGACTTTGATTGATTCAGAGTTCTGAAACACAGCTGCCCTTGGTATATGTGATGTTATCTCCAAAGAAATTTTATGTTCTTGCTAATTCTTGGTAATACAACTTCCAAAACACAGTCACGAGGAAAAGTCACCAACATAATGGCTCACTGATTATATTAAAAAATAAACAAGAATGTCCACAATGTCAAAGCCTAGACCTCAATCTCTCAAATGCACCATTTATGTAATACAGCATCCAATGCACAGTGGAGAGCAGAGAAGCATTGTGAAGATCTGAAACATGCCAATTAGCCAGTGGCATGATGCTGCCTAGAAAAGTCACTGAGATTTCCACTGTTTGTCTTCTTTTAAAAAAGGCAACAGCTCTTTCAATGACTTTTTGGGCTGGATTCTGTCACCTATACTCAAAATGAGTCACCTAATTCTTCAAATACATTGAGACAACTTACAGAACAAAGTACTTTCAGCTGAAGGAAGCTGCCAGATTTTAACCCATGACTGTGAAAACTTGATCTTTTGGCAGTTATTCTCTGGGTTGTATCTTATCTCCAAATATGTATTATTTAACCTATTAGTGCTTCCTAGTAAATCACCTTGTCATTTAATAAGAGTTACTTTCTTATCTGTAATGTACACGCAGATGTAGCAATTGTAAAGAAAAGGTGACATGGGCCTGAACTCCATGATTTCTAATATTTAAGTCCCTGCATTTAACCTCTGACAGCAGAGAAAATACATTTCCATAGAAAAAGTGAGATTATGTAGTATTAGCTCTTTTGTGTCATTTACCACATAAGGCGATGATGTGACTGCTGTCTTCATGGACAAATTTCCGGGTGACAGCTTCTTCCATGATCTGCTTTACCTAAAATAAATAGAAAGAAGTGATTGTAAGATCCCAACAAAAACCAGCACAGCACTTGCGAGTTTCAGTTTCAACCTTTGCTTGCCCTTTCCCCATCACCAAAAGGCTAAGGAGTCACACAAATTACATGTTGCAGGGAAGGAAGAATAGAAGCATTTAAGGAGGGAAAGGAAGGACAAACCTGAGCCGCTTTTCATGGGATGAGAGAACCTCTGCTAGAACAAGGACAAGTCTATTTGGGGCATGCCCCTATAAAAGGCTGAATTATTTCAGAGTGTGCAGAGTGCCCTCCAGAGAACTTCTTCATCAGAAGTTCCAAAGGGCTGTGCAAAACTTTTTATATGATTCATCCTTGGCCTTCCTGCATATAGTTACTTCTGCTCATGAAATAAGATTACGTATTGCCAGGTCCTCTTTCCATTTGTGGCCTTCTGCTCTTTTTCAAGCACAAAGAATCCCTGAGCTACACAGGCATACATCCCAAGAGAGGTTTACAGCAACCTTTCCCCCATTTGGGGACTTTACATGCCACAGTAATTACAAATTATGTTCTCAAAGCTCTGCTGCACCAGACACTATACAAAAATAATACAGTACCCATAGAGAAGACTGTGCCCTCAGTTTTCACTTCTAGACAGAATTTAATAATAACAGCAAATAAAATTACATTAATCACACTTCTTACTGATTTAAAACAAAGTTCCTCTCCAGTTTCAAGGCTGATGTGTCAAGTTCCAGAGGGAATTCATTGCAGATTACTGACTTTCAAAAATTAAGGAAGACGACAGACAAATCTTACAGTTAGGCTCTTGAAGAGAGGCTGCAGTTACCCTCCATTCATCTGCTAGCTTATTCCTCTCCCAGTGGCTTCCTCAGCCTGATACCAGATGAAAACTATTTGCCTCAACCAACTCATTTATCAGACACTCCTTTCTTCCTGGCCACAGAGCACTTGCTTTTCCAGATACAAATCCACCATCATTTTTGGCTTCTCTCATTTAGTGAGCTATAATTACAGGGTTAGGGCACTGCCTAAATAAATGCCACATCGCTTTCAATATATGAAAATAAGTGCTACTGTAGCAGAAGATTTAATAAGATACTCTCCTCTTCCAACTTTTTTTTTTTTTTAAACTTGAAAACAATTTTTACAGCAGTCCTGGAATCCAACAAATAGTGAATTATCTGGCAAGTAATCACGTCTGGCTACTCTTTACCAACAAGCTCAGCAGCATGGCCAGCTTGGTCTGAGTGCCAGCGCAAGCTGTAGAGCAATGGGCAGCACCAGCCTGCCGCAGGGGCTAGGTCTGCGTACCTAGGAGACCTCAACCCGTGCTTCTCAGCAGGGCTGGCGACTGTGCATTCAGCTCTCATTAGGCTGCACCTGGTACCCAAGATAACCAGTTTAAAGCTAGCTGGGTTACCACTTCTTTGCAGCACTGACAGGTCCAAAGGTTTGAAGCCTTCCCACTCAGCACTGGAACCAGAAGCTGCAGGTGCAATGCTCGATCAACAGCTGGGCTCTGTACTTGCACTGCTGTGATGATGAGATTGCAGCTGCCTACGAAGGTGCCTTCTCCAGTTTGGAGGGCTTCCTCCTCCAGTAAGATCATTTGCGAGGCCAATTCTGGATGCTATAATCAAGCATGCCTTCCCCCGATAATCATCCTGAGGTACCTCCATGCCTACTCCTACACTCCCCACCCGGGCTGGCAGCAGTCTGCAGCTCCAGCTCCAGCACTTGCTGCACGAGTCTTTCAACACATGGCGTTCTCCTCGCCCCAAATTCTGGATCAAGTTGATCCGACAGAATTTGGGCTTCTTATCAAACAGGAGCCCTCTGGGTTGCAAAGAAAACATTGGAGGGGGAAAGCAAACATGTAAGAGGCTTTGGAAGTAAGAACACATTTTATACCTGAGGACTTCAAAGCAAGTCTTCTGCACTTCGTAAAACCTGGCTCGCTATTCACATACTGAGGCTTGACAACATAAACTCCTGACAAGATGCTTTGTTTCTTTCCTGTGGCATTTCTGACATGGCTATTAGAACTTTGGACCTTACAGTAAAGCAGTGGGAGGTGGAGGAGTAAGAGGATATCAAGAAAGAAGCAAAGGTGTGAGAAGGTCTCACGGATGGGAACTCACACACGAAGCATCTGGATTACCCTGTTTATCCATGAATCCCCTTCTCACATTTTTATTCACATCATTGTTGATTTACAAGCTTGATGTCTGTTTGTCTTTGCAGGAACCCAATAAAACTTGTTCTAAACCTCACCTAGGCATTTGAAATCATCTAGACAATAGCACCTAGGCAGACCGCAGCTCAGCAAAGGGAAGGGGACAGGACAGCTGCGCAGCTCTGCCTGTTTAAATTCCAGCTCAGACCTTGACCTGCATTTTCACACGTGGGAGGCAGCATGTTCCGGCAAACACAGCTTGCAGTGGAAGCACAGAGACGATGCCATCCACTGCCTCCAAGCCAACTCATCTCTGTGCCTCAGCCGACCCATCTGTGAAAGAAGGAGAGTGACCCAACCTTTGCAAGCTGTTCTGATTTCACTGGATGAAAACTGTATTTAATCTACAAAATGAAAGGCCTGTTTTACAAAAGGGAAAAAGTACCTCTGAGTGCCACTAGCATTAAGGTGGACAGAAGAGGAAGCATGAGAGAGCTGCACCAGGGTAAAGTCATGCACATATGACTCAAGGTCACAGACATGAATTCAGGCACCATTCAGGACTGCAGACTGTGATTTCAGTTTCGGCTCCCCAGAGAACAGTAACTGGAATTCAATTCCTGATGACAGAGAGGAAGAAAAGTCATTTACTATGAGCAAGAGCTCCGGAGCTCAGAAGCCAAATCCCTTCTATCGCACATTTCCCAGGCATCACCCCAATCATTAGTCTTTATTAGCTCAGTATGTTATTTAGATCCCAGTCTGTAGCCCAGGAACAAAAAATTTAAACTGTATAAAAAATTAGGAAGAAAAAGGTTTCAGACGCAATAATCAACCCGACTTTTATACAGCAGCACCATATGGTCAGTCTATCAGCAGATTTTGAATCCAGGACCTCCAGAGCTAAGCAGGATAGACCAGGCAAGCAATCAGTGTCTGTTCCCCACTGCCACTGAATACAGAGCAACCTCTGCACATTTTCTGGAGGGTTAGTGAATGTTATTAGAAAACATTTTCAGGGCATAGACAGTAGATGTGAAGATTCAAAAGCTGGAATGCAGTGCTCTTCAATCCCACGTCATTCCTCACTGCCACGTAATTCAGGGATGTTCCAGGCAAGGAGCTAAATCAAATGTTTCTCATCAAATGGAACCCAAGCCCCCCCCCCCCCCTTGCGATTTTGTGCAGCTCTCTTTGTAGGGAATTATGCTGTTGTGTCTCTGTGTTCTGGGGAGGCACTCGTCAATGAAGCTTTCTGAGCATAAGCCTACACAGACACCCACTTGCAGATACTAGCAGACCTGACCAAAATTCAGATTAATCTCATTAAAAGAAACATCAACAGCCCACCCCCCCACATTCACCCATCCACCTGCACAGGTAAAGAACTCTATTCAGCCTACTGAACTGCTGTTTGTGCAAGGGATGGAGGGCTGCCTCCTCCAGCTGCAGTCAGTGCTCCCTCCATTGCCTTGGAAACATCCCTCCTGTTCTCTGTGCCTCCTTTATAAGATCAATACAGGATCTACTCATCTTAACCAGGCTGTTCATTTACACCTGCCAGGTGGCACAAGCATGCAGAAAAGCAGCAAGTGCATTGACTTCTGTGCATTTCAGTTTCTCCATGAACCAGAAGTAGCACTGCATCAAGGGAACTGCAGAGAGCTTTAACAGCCCTCGGCCACAGACTCAGAAGACATTCTGCTCTCCCTGGAAAAGGTGACAGGCTGTACGTGCACCACGTTTACCAACCACGGGAGAGCAAGGATGGGAAAGCTCTGCCTACCCAAGATCTTAGCATTTGAGGAGTGAAGACTATCCTGGTGGTAGCATTATCCAGGTAAAGCAAAGCAAGCTCCTCAAATAGAACCTGATAAGCATTTGCACAATGTTATAATGGATCACTGCTCTTTCTCTTACATCCTACAACGGCCAAAACTTTCAGAAACAGTCAAACACCGAGCATAGGTCATAATACATCAATTATTTAATAAGTTTCACCAAAGAACAACACAAGAGAAATGCCTTTATGTTTCATTTTTTAATTTTTGTTATAAAGAAGCTTTAAAAATTGAAATAAACTCCCAATTTTGGAGCAACCTTCTGGTATAAGAGATCAAGAAAAGGAAGACTACTAAGACATGACATGCACTGACTATATACTAATTTATTTACAAGCACAGGGCTGGAAGAGACCTACAGATGTTGCCTTCTCCATCCTTCTGCTGAGTTCCTGGTTCGCTTCAATGAGCACAGACAGTTAGGACTTGCCTTACTGCAATTTTGCTAAACTGTCACAATGATGGATTTCTGACCAGGGCTGACCCAGCACATCTCAATGTATCTGCAGCTTTCAGGGTTAGGAACAACGTTTCAAACCAGCACCCCTCTTTCAGAATACAGTTTGCAGCACTTTCCCCAACCATGCATCATGATGGGATGCTGGAGGAGCACCACAGGGATAATGCAGCATCAAAGGAAAAGAACAGTGCTCATAAAATACTGGAATATCCAGGACCACAGTTAAAACCCACAGTATTTTTTCCTCAAAGGAGAAAACCTTATGTCCAGCATCCACGCCTCCTTTAGCTTGTGTAGTTACTGTTCATCTCATTTATTAATTGCTGCTGCCCCACTGACTCTTTGTTACTCTTAATAAAAAACGGGGTGGTGTAAACACAAGCTGTTAAATAAGTAGTATATTTCTGCTCAGAAGTGGTTGCATTTTTGTTGTAAGATACGCAATTGCATTTCTGAAGTGTTCTGAAATTTCTCAGGGCAAAACTGCTAAGGTTATTGTTACCCTGTTTGTTTCACAGCTAGAAAGAGTGTTGTGTTTAAATCCAGAAATGGCAAAACCCCCTCCATTTCAGTAGGTAGAAGGAAATGGCCAGAGAAAAGCCTGTTTTATGAGTCTGCTTGTCACAACAGATTTTCCTGCAGAGAGAGATAAATGTTTGAAACGTGAACTTAGAAGCAGCCTCAGCGTGAATCCCAGTAGAGTTAAATTTTCAAAACACATTACATGTCCTCCTTTCTATTAGAGCCAACAAGATACATTCTTTACCAGTGGGAATTGAAAATCCATCTGAGAAAAAGCAAACAACATTAAATTTTCCCAAAGGAAAAATGCAAAAGTTTCTGCTGAGAGGGAGAGACAAAATAAAAAACTACTTTGCAGCAAGTGACTTTGGAGACAACCATTTTATATTTTACAAAGACAACTGAATTTTAGTAGGCTTGGTGTAAACAACATACAGAAAGAATATGCTTACTCTGAACTCCATTAGATATTGAGGTTACATGAAAATAATTCAATAGGAGGAAGAGCCTGGGTTTAGAGAACAAAGGAAGGGAATGATTGCTTTGAGAATGGGCATGGACTAGCCAAGTTTTCAAAACGAGACCACCAACACACCGTGTGTGTGCAGGTATAAGTGGCTGTGTGAAAAGTCACACAGAATAAAAAATGAGGTTGAAAATTCTATCAGAAGTAGTTAATTACCATCATTAAGGGAAGCATAATCTGGTGGTTGGTATACCAGTGGTTTGCATTCAATTCCTGGCTCCATTCATTGATTGTTTAAAAGAAAAATAAAATCTCAATCTCAGTGTCTCTGACTGCCTCCTGATACCATTTGTCTTAATGTGAGCCGAACAGACAGGGTCCCCTTCTACGGGTCCGTGCAGTGCACAGGCAAGAGGTGTTATCTTAACATGCATACAACCACCAAAGAGCTCTCAGGACTATTTTAGAATGGAAAGCTCTGGGCAACCCCCAAAAAGCCAAGCCAATATAAATCCCCTAAAAAAGCATTTGTGAGGATTTGGAGAAGAAAAAAACAAATCAAAGACAAAACAAAAATGCATTATTCAAGTAATTTAAAAGCTAAAGTCCAATTAAAAACATTTTAGAGACTTTAAAAACAAATTAGCCTCAGATTTTTTAATTATATACCACTTGGTCTCCTTGGCTTGAGCTGGCTTGGATCATGAAAATCCATTTCACTTTCAATCTCGTACATTAGCACAAGATTACAATGTTCAGAGTTGGAAAACATTTCTCAAATTTATTTATATATTTAAACATTAACCCAGGAGACCAAGTGCACACACTTCTAAATCAAACCTTACACTATCTTGGCTCAAAGGTCCTAGTTTAAGTTAAAATTTCTAAATAAAGTGGCAGGTTCATGGCTGCATTAAGCCACAGCATTTAGTAATAGGTAACACCTGCTCAGTGCCCTGCAGCCAGGTGCTAGCTGGGTTGCTCCAGGACACAGTCCTGCAATTTTGTTCACAGATTGTTCTTTACAGGTCTATCCCTACTCTACCACTTCTGGTGAACCTACGCTGACTGAAACATCTGATATTTTCTGGTTTCAACACTAACAAATATTAGGACACCAGATTCAGGCTCAGGAGCCTTGGCCATAGCAACAACTTCTCACCTGAGCTTTAATGAATCCTGCTCTCCAGCTCCTTCTAATTTCCCCAGCTGTGAACTGGGGGAGGGGAAGGAGCAGGAGAATAGTTAGCTTTTTAAAAATACTTTCTATTGCTGTGATGGATAAGCATTACATCTTTGCTTAGCTCCCATGTAAGAACAGGCAGCTACACACGGCTGTTACACAGTCAAGGCCACAAAAATGCAAAATACAGTACTGGGGTGTAAGGGGGAGAGGTGGCCGCTCACTAAGCTGGTAGTTCCACCTGGAGCACGTTCCCGATGGTGCTCTTAGACCAAGGCATGCTTACACCACCAGGCAACTCCTCCCAGAGCACTTTGGCAGGGACCCCAAAAAGTGTCCTGTTGGAGCAGTCTCAGCACAAACCTTGCTCTGCAGTAAGAGCCACTCCACCTAAACGCGAAGCACAGTAGGAACTCTGTCCTGCTGAGCACATCCGACCAGGTAACAGCACCATTCTTTGCGAAGACTGAAGCACCACCCATCCAAATGCAAGTGTGATCTAACGCCACCATCCCCGTTCAGGCACAGGGTGTTCGGTAGCAGCACGTAAGTGTCACACAGCTCTTTGTAAGAGCAACCACCCAAATTAACCCAGCCCTACTCCCCCCTCTCTCAGCACACTTCCTAAAGCGCAGGTATGAACTCCACAGGAGCAGACGCTTCTGCCAGGGCTCAGGCATGTAGGAGCCAACTCAGTTCACCCAGGGGCATCTTGGGACTACCTTTCTTATCACTGATTTTCCTCCTGTCTCCTCCAAAACTCACAGCAAAGGAAAAATTAGTAAAGAACCAGTAACAAGGAAGACATAACCGCAGGGAAATGGAGCTGGGATGATTAGCTCGTTTCAGGCTCCTGCCTCAGATGAACACAGCCCTCACCTGCTGCCGGGGCAGGGATGAGCAAACCCACAGAGAAGCGTCTCTTCTCCCCAGGTTCACTTGGAGAAAACCCAGCGAAGCCACCGACATGTTTCTGGAGCAGCATTACAATGTCAACCTCAACAGCTAGGCTAAGCAGAGCCTTTATTTATTTATTTCAATCGCGGGAAGGTGGCATATTCCACCGCAACAGCACAGAAAAGGTTAAACAGTTGTAGCCGAACAAATCCTCCCCTTCCCATTCATCGCCGCCAGAAGGGAAATCGGGTTTCAATTCAACCCGGCCAAAGCTTTATTTTATTTACTCTAGGCAAACTCTTAACAACCGGCCCGACTGCAAAGGAGATCACACAAATCCGTCCCGCGGAAGGTTCGACCGTTCGCTACCGGCCTCAGCCCGCCGCGGGAGGCCGAGCCCGGCGGGGAGGGAAGGAGGGAGGGAGGGCATGCAGGACGGCCCGAGGCCCCGCAGCCCTCCCGGGCCAGGGGACCCCCGCGCCGCCGGGGGAACCTCCGCCGCCCGGAGCGCGGGGCTCCGTCCACCTCACAGCCCCGGCCCCAGCGGGGAGGACGCCCTGCCCGCCTCCTCCTCCTCCCTCACCTCCTTCTTCACGTTCCACAGCAGCTTCTCCTTCACGGCGTCCGCCGAGCAGCTCATGGCGGAGCGGGGGGAGCGGGGCCGCCCGCCCCGCCCTCAGAGCCGCCGGTCCGCACCGCTGAGGGAGCGCCCGCGGAGCGAAGGCTCCGCACCGCCCGGCCGACCGCGGGGAGGCTGCGGCCCGCCGCGCAGCTCCGCGGCCATCTTCCGCGGCTGCCGCTGACGTCAGGCTGAGGGCGGGAACACCGGG